GCTCGACCTGATCAACGCCGCCAGCGCTCGCTTCACGAGGTCCCCCTCCACGGTGCCGATCCTCACCAGCGAGTTCGTCATCGCCGACCTCCTCGCGTTCAATCGACTCGACGATGAGATCGCGTGCTGGTGGTGATGGCTAGGGCTCCCGAACCCCTTGTGGAGACTGCACCGGAACGATCCCGGATGAGTCGTCGGCGAGCACATGCAGGTCTTGCGGTTAGGGTTTGAGGGGGCGAACCGAGATCGGCTTTTTGGCGGGAGCGAGAGATTGAGGCGCCGGGAGGTGGCCGGTTGTCGAGGGTTGAGGGACGAGGCGAGGCGGAGGACCGAGGCTCCGCGAAGGACACGTGTGCGGCGAGGTGGAGGCGGTGGCTCAAGAAGGTGGAGTGAAGAGAAGGAGGATGACGAGGAGGGCGAAGTAGATCGAGGCCGCGGAGGACGGTTGCCGCCGCCGCCGCCGCCGACTCGGAGAAGGTGGAGGTGTTGCGGAGCACTGGACCGCTTCTGGATCTTGACCTCGACGAAGACATTCTCTTGAGAGAGAGGGGGGTTAGGTTTTAGAGAGAGAAAATTGGGGATTTCGGTTGCTATTTTGGCAAACCTAGCTTAGATCCGGCGTGCTATTTATAGGAAGGGGACGAGGGTGGGGATGGTAAATAAGTGGTAGTTTTGTGGGTCAGACGGAAACTGGTGACCTGCCGTTTAGTTGGATTTCTCGCTTGAAAACAGCGGCTCAGAGACGAAACTGTAGGCCCACTCACGCTTACCTCACCCGCCTCTCTTTCGCGGAGCCCACTGAACGTGGGTGCGGGTGAATTGTTTTTTTTTTTCCCAATAAGGTTTTAATTAAATCTCAAAGCGCCGATCTGGGAGCGGGAACCATTGTGATCGCCCTTGGTTTGAGGAATAATTACGAAACTACCACCGGATTCCATTGAAGACGGGCGTCGATTCGACTGTACTTGTTTCATGCGAAGGAGCTGGATTGCTAAACTGATCCGCGAGAGAAGCAGAACAGGGCACCCGTTAAACTACGCTCTTGGAGACGCTTACGGTCACCGCCGGTGAGCCCACCGTGGTTTCTTGGGAGTTCTATTTATTATGCGGTGGCAATCTCGTGAAAAGATGCGCAACTTTTTTCCAACCGTTAGATGGTAGTCACTTGACGTAACCTCATCTGCAGGCTTTTTTTTTGTTTTAATTTATATATATATAGCGTTTCCAGAAGGTCTCGTTATTCCCAAACTTTTTGTAATTTCTACAGTTTTCTTGAATTTTGAGACTTTTTGTAGATTTAACATCATCTTAACTCATTAAATATAAAAAATATATATAATGGTTCAAAAAAATATTGAAGGGTTAAGCAACTAATTCTAGAGGGATTAAAATGAGTTAAAAATAAGGAGTTTACTAATACTCCTATTTAGAAGGATTAAGAGTTAACCTCTCTATTTATAAAGAAAATATTCAAAATTATCGTTATTCCCAAACACTAAAAATAATCGCAATGGCTAAAATAAAACTTATTTAACGGGTTAATAATTTAGTCCTTCGGGTAATCGGATGGGCTAACTACGTTAATCCTTCTACTCAATCTCTCTTTTTCTTAACCCTTTGCCAAACAGGGGTTTCACATGACCACCAAACTTTAGGGACTTCCATTAAGTATCTTTGACCTTCGAGAAATTATCATTAAAAATTAAAGGGTTTGCCGCTAACTGTCAAGTATTATGAATTTTTTTTGGGAATGATTAACTGATTAAGAAAGAAGTTGTTTGTATTTCAACCTTCTGCTCTGCTAATCACAATTTCTCAAAGTCAAGAATTGTCAAAAGTACCCAAAGTGACAAGGGTTTTGTTGAGTTTGTTAAGCCCATGAAGATTTCGTGTAAAGCCCTCCCAAATTGAAGAATTTTGTGAAATTTTACCTTTTGTTAGACTTTTATGA